AAAAAAAAAAAAAAATTATATAAGATTTTACTTTCATTTTTTGGGAACTGTTAGATTTTAAAGCGACCTTTTGTTTTTCTCAAAAAGAAAAATCCACTAAAGTAGTACTCTCAAGATATTGTGTAACCTTAAATAGTCTTATAAAACGACAATGGCTGCGGTCACATCTAGGCTACTAACTATAGTTAAGACAGGGATGACTATAGTTAGCTATTTCGGTAATGTGACCGCTTCGATTCTCTGTTCGCTCTAACTATAGTTAGAAAATTTACGCCTCGGTGATCCAAAACAATACAGACCAACTATAGTTATACCCAAGCAGGGTTCATGGGTTAGTCTTAGTTTACAAACATACAACCAATCAGAATGTGACAATAGGCCCTTTGCAGCTAAGCCATCACGTGGCCTATTTTTCATAAAATTATGGGCTGTAACTTAACGAAAGCCAGAAATGGAAAAAGCATGTCGAAAATATCAAAATGGCCAAGTTTGAGGCCCCCATCATTAAAGAATGAGATTTCATGACAGCCAAATTTGATGTTTCTACCTTGAAAAAATTTCTACCTTGAAAATTTCCTTATAATACTCACTTTGGAGGGTGGTTGGTTGCATCTTTGATATGCCTTAATGTGACTGCGCGATGTAGTTAGTGAGTTCATGTGCGCCTAGACATCATTTGGCTGTGTGACCGCGCGATGCGCTTCCAGTCAAAGACGCACATTTCACCCGTGCTCACCATAGAGTCTCCAGTAGCTCAGTGGTTAGAACATCCGACTAGATCACGCAGGGTCGTGGGTTCNCTGTGTGACCGCGCGATGCGGTTCCAGTCAAAGACCCACATTTCACCCTTGCTCACCATAGAGTCTCCAGGAGCTCAGTGGTAAGAGCATCCGACTAGATCACGGAGGCTCGTGGGTTCAAATCCCATCTGGAACTCGGATTTTTTTTCCGAGTTGATGTTTCTACCTTGAAAAAATTTCTACCTTGAAAATTTCCTTGTAGTACTAACAAATGATCTGTCTTTAATTTAACTTTGCTGTTATAACTCACACACGACACGGTTTTCTTGAGTAGATCTGAGCTGTCTTTGGTTCCACAGGTTAAAAAGAACTGCCTGTAAACCTGGACCAGCGTGTGGGGCCAGTTATCCTGGTTTTATGATTGGTGGTAATCCGAAGAGAATAGGAAAGAATGCCAGAAGAAAGAAAGTGTGTTTCACTGAAGGCGATAACTGCTGCGCAAAATATGTCTACGTCAAGGTTAAAAGGTGTGCGGGTAACTTCTTAGTGTATCAGTTGCCCGCGCCGCCTTCTGGGAGTTACCGCTACTGTGGCCAAAAACGTAAGTAGGCCGTTTATACATTACTCTAAGCACAGGAACGTTTCAGATAAGGTATGACTTAGTAATGACTTATAAAGGCTCATATACCATGATGGCCAAGCCAATGAAAACATCCATCGGCAGTTACTAATAGTTGGTAGTTATTTGAAATCTTTTCTTCTTAGCAACGATTACTGAATCCAATTGACTTTTTTTTTCCGCAGAAAGAGGAAAGCCAACCCAAGGTATGTCAGAAAAGATAATGTGTTAGCTCGGAGAAATCTCCTTTATCCAGTGTTCCGTGTTCGGTGTCCAATGTTCCTTGTCCACTGTCCAGAGTTCTCTGCCATGTGTCCCGTGCCCTGTGTCCTAGACCTGGTTTACTGTGTTCAGTGTGCTGTGTGTAGTGTCCTATACCTACTTTCCAGAGTCCAGTGTCCAGTGTCCCGTGTCCACTGTCTAGAGTGCTCTGCTCTGTGTGATATGACCGGTGTACTGCATCCATTGTACTAGGTCTGGTATCTTGTGTCTACTTTTCAGTGTCAGGTGTTTTGTTTTCTGTGTCCAGTGTTAAGTTTACACTGACCAGAGTTCTCTGCGATGTGTCCCGTGCTCTGTGTTATGCCCGGTGTACTGTGTCTATTGTGCTATGCCTAGTATCCTGTGCCTACTTTCCAGGGTCCAGTATTCTGTGCAAGTGTATTAGCATGCTCTGTGATTAGTGTATGTAGATAATTGGCATTACTTGCCCTGTGTTTCACCCGTTGAGGAGATCTTCATAACTTATGATCTTCTCACTCCATCATTTTCTTCAGCTCCACCCACCACTCCCGCTGTGAAAACCGGTGAAGACAAGCAGCACCCTGGCAACTCGTGCAAAGTTGTAAAAGACGAAAATCCTCAAGGTGGTTCAGGGGTGTACTGGATAAACCCAGCAGGAAAGACTTTCAGGGCTTACTGTGATCAAGAGACTGACGGCGGAGGGTGGACACTGGTTTACAGTTATACCTTCACAAACTATCCGTAAGTGAGAGACAGAGGAATAGTAAAAAAGATATCAGTAATTCTTTAGATCTGCTCTTTACCAGTATTCTCTTTCGTGCTTCACAAGTTTCGCTGACATTTTTTGATCATTTCTTAAATGACATGTATGCTGCCGCAGTATGGGTGCGTTTCGTTGAGTCTTTCGCTTAGGCTCAAGCGTTGTAGGAAAGGATTTTGTTGAGGAGGTGAACGCTTTTCAATTTAGATTCTTCTCCGGACGGGAAGAGCCCGTGGAAGTAGACCAGACTCTAAAGAGCGGCAGAAATGGAGGTTAAAAATAGGAAATGAGAGAGTTTTTTATTGTTATTTCTTCGAGTGCACCCTAAAACTAAAAATAGTGACGTTTCGTCTACACAACACCCCACTGAAGAACAAAAACCTTGAATTACTCCTCTAATCTAGAGGACGAGCACCCCCGCCTTTTTTATATGGGATTTTCCCCCACCCCTACCCCAAAGACAATTCACTATAAGCGAGAGACGATGGTCTGCAATTGATATTATCAAGGGGCGATGCAGCAGTAACGTTTACATAGTTATTTTATATATTTCGCTTCATAGGAAATTTTTGGATGGAAGTAACGCTGTCACACCACGCCCCTCATGGCCGGCTAACGGGGACGTTCCCTTGTCAAAGAAAACTCCCTTACGTGAGACGCAGTTGGGTGCCATGAACTTCGATTTGTGGAAACAAATTGGACAGGAATTCATGGTCAAGTCTAACATCAATCATTGGATCACATGTAAGGAAGGAACTGGAAGCTTAGTGGACTGCAGAGCTGGGACCTTGGATTGCCAAGTAGTCAAGAATATCGCCCCTACCTGCCACAATGTTGCCCCTGACGAGATACGCATCCTAACTAAAGAATCGTCGGAAGATTTCGGACCTCATCTCTACTATTCAAAGAGTTCTACCTATTTGAAGACCTACTACTACTGGGAGAGCTCGACCAAGTCCCCCAACTGGCCCACGCATGACCCTTGTGGCCAAAACGGCCTGTCACATGTCAAAGATGTAATGAATCCCCGTGGCAACATTTTCATTCGTTAGGTATTCCCCGTCGGAATTGTGAGAAGGTGTTTTTGCAATAATGAATAACTAAGTCGTATAATGTAGTAGGGGATTACTTCTCAGGGATGTTCGCAAAAAATGGAATGGTACTTAACTGTAAACAGAAGCTGCATATTAAATAAACTAGAATAACAAAACAACTACAGCCTTGGTTTTAACGATTTCTTGTATTTATTTCGCGCTGTTCTATAACCTCTGTGACAATCAAAACTGCTCGTTCATATTATCAGGGGTGCTATACACACCCTTGAAATCTCACTTTTGGATTGTTACAACTGTTCTAGTCTGGATCAGTTTACGGTATAGCTCAGAACTGAATAGGCAAAGTTTTAATTATCTGTCCGGCTTTTAACTGATTGCTGAGATCTCGGACCTATTAATGTACTGATAGCCTAGAGATGAGCTGAAATTTTTACTAATGAATGGGATGCAAGCATTGATATCTAGGTCCTTTTGTCAAGAGAAACTCTTTCATTTATTCCTACCAAACACCTTGACAGTTGAGTAGCTAAATTAGCAATCTAAACATAGTAAAGAATCAACATTCATGATTACAATAGTAGACTATCCTGGTACAAATGTTGAGGCGATGACTCTGCACTTAGCCACCATAACTGTACACCCATTCATTGGCTGGAATCCACTCATTGAAGGCAAACTTATGGACGAGAGAACCTGCGGGCTTTACAGTGACCTAGCAAAAAAACATCGATGAGTGTCTAAAAATCATATGAAGCTATTTATAGTTTATTATCGTTTCGTTGTATGCAAAGGCGATTTTTGTGCTGGGCTTTAATTTAGAAGTGTGAGTAGCGCGCAGAGATATTTCGAGAAGGACTATAGAAAAAAACTGGCAAAATCAAAACGGCACTATTTTTTAAAATGAAATGTATATTTTTTTTATGAAGCACGGGGCTTCTACTATAAATACCGCAGAGAAATGGTAGAAAATTTTCCCAGCATTCCTTACATACTCTCACAAGGGTTCTTCGTCTCGCGGCTAGGGAAAGCGTCATAATCTGTTTCAGTGACAAGTCGATGATATTAAATAAAAAATAAACCAGAAAGGGCCGATTGAATATGAGACAAACTTTAAAATGAAGTCACGATATTAATACTGCTTTAAAAGTAAATAGTGCGTTCGAGTCAATCCCGATGCTTTCAAATGATGGCGGACTCCACCGACGCCAATAATCTGGAACAAAACAAGATCATTATATATCGGATCACGTCTAAACACACGTGAAGAAAGACTTGGGCAGGAAAAAAACGCGAGCGGGCAAAACCGAGGAATGCCGATAAAGCAAGTAATCCCGCAATGATGAACGAATTACACAACATAAACCTTCCTCTGCTTCTCCCCCTCAACCAAGTTCAGATCTACGAACTGAACTTAAATATACCAAAGTGCCTACGAATGGATGTTGAGCGCTGCGAGCAGACGTAAATGTCTTGTTTACCCAATGAAAGCCATCACAATAAACGCTGAGCTTGCATCGAGATGCTTGTCCGGGCGTAAAGGAGCGTTTGATTAATTAATTTAAAACAGATCTTAAGGAATAAAAACCCAGATGATATGGAATACTTGTCTGAGTANGCAAACGTGTCTGTACCTAATTTTGCAAACGTCAACACAAGGTTTGATTTTTCACGCAACCCTTTCTATTCGGATAGTTTTGGACCAGAAAATCGTTTATTACATCAAAATTTTATGTTTGTAGAATCAACAAAGCAGTTCCCTATACGGACTCCAAAGTTAAATGATTTTAAAAAGTGTTAAAAGTTCTTCGGAAAGGAAGACACTCAATATCATAAAATGAATAGAACGCTAGGAAAAGGAACTGAAGAAGTGTATATATTATTTTATTATATAGCCACGAGTGTTTTACTTAACAAGTAAAGAAGCCTAAGCCGTGTATTACACTGTGATAAAACACGACGGGCATTTGAGAACAAGAGGGAAATGTAGACAACACGAGCCGCAAACGAGTGTTTTCTACATTTTTCGAGTGTTCTCAAATGTCCGGCTTAGGCTTCTTCATTTGCTTTATGATATTGAGGTAGTGTGGCGAAAAACAATAAAACACGCTTTTTCTATGTTTTATACTCTGATAAAACATAGGTTTTTGACCAATCAGAGCGCGCGCAGGGTCCTATCCATATCATGATGAGAAATACACCACTCGTAAAATTGATACGAAACCACATCCGGGACTCGGGTAGCGCATTTACCATATTTCTCATAAGTGAAGATATCGATGATTTCACTGATATCAGTTTTGTCTCTTAAATTGTACTTAAACTATCCCGGTGACCCCATATATTTTTCAGTACGCACAGAAGAAGAAACAGGCAAAATTAGAAAAAATTCTGTGGAGTAAATATTGCTTAAATTCCAAAAACAATGATATGCGCGCCAAGATGGCCGCCGGTGTCGTTCGCGTTCTCTTGATTTATTTTATATTTCTAGCCTATTCTGATGATTTTTCGCCCAATGGATGGACTCACTCTGGTTTTAACCACTTCTGCTTCGAAGATATCCATGGATGTTTCTCCGATGGTTTTCTTCCTGGCAATTTTAGACGTGAATTTAGCCTGGTTGGATCTCACGTGGTTATAAGACGGCAAGACTGGCTCAGTAGTCTTGAAGTGTTCCAACCATGCTCAAAACAGGGTAAGCATGGGTCTACCTGTTTAGTTCTTCCCTCGAAACCTTTTGTCATGGATTTGACAGTGCATGTTGATATATCTTCAAATCCAGGACCNCTAGACGTAAAGTGTGGCACATTTGCCACCTTTAGTCTCTGTTTAAAGTGGAAAATCATTGACTTGCTTTTATCCCAAACAAAGCTATAGATCAGTCATTTGCAGGCTGTTTAACGGTTCTTGCGAATACTTGTTCAATCAATAACTCCCTCGTGAATTTATAGCATTTTGAAGTTCAAAATGTAACCTTTGTGGCACACTTCAGGGGTAAGAGACAATTTAAACGGGTAAACTCCCATTTTGTCAGCGATGTATTATGCGCGCCAAGATGGCTGCCGGTGTCGTTCGCGTTCTCTTGATTTATTTTGTATTTCTAGCCTATTCTGATGATTTTCGCCCTATGGATGGACTCAATTTATAGCATTTTGAAGATTATATCATCATTCGTTTCGGTCGCCACAACTTATTACATATTCAAGAAGTGAGTTGTTATCAGTGCGGCGTTTTTCGCCGGCTCGTTTGCCTTTTCATCTGGTTTCGGTCTTAAAGGATTTCAGTTTGCTTCGGACAAGAGGATGTAGAGCAGGTGTATGGGCGAAGTCACGAACGAGGCAGAGGAGCATAACGACGGTTGTTTCAAATCGAAATGATCGTTTTTCGAAATTTGCATCTTTGCTTAATCGCGACAATCTCGTGAAGGTGCAG